CTTAGACTTTATTACTGCATGTCAGTTCTGGTTTTTTTACACCTCACACCTTTTCACTTCCCTCACTGTCACTGCCTTCAACTTCATCACTTTTACTGTTTTAACTGTTCTCAACTTCCTCCAGCTCCCACAACTCCCCTTCCCTGCCACCCAGAGACCTTGAAACACCACACTTTAGCTGTATTCCCTTTAGCTGTAACCCTTCAGCTACAACCTTCCTTCACCATCACATTCAGTAACAGTTTTGTACTCTTCGTAACACTGTCAGCATTAATCGTGCTTTTTTTTTTTTTTTTTTTAATTCCTGAAAGTTTTTACAAGGATGGCTTCTGTGTTTCTTCAGCAATGTGGCTGGAAGGGCTGTCCAAGTAAACCAGTCTCTCACCTACATTACCCATCGAGTGGCAGCAGCTAATCCTGAGTCATACATAGTCCAGTCGCATGCTGCTGCATCAGTTGTGCACACCAACCTGCTATTGTTATGGAATATTTTGTGTTATTTTTTGAGCTTTCAGTTTAATGATTTCTATTGTAACTAACTGGGTAACTTAGATTATACACAAATTTTACAACTACTTTATGAAATCATTCTCTTTTGGGTCACTGACTGATTTCTCCAGCAAGTTAATACAAAAACAACACTGAGTGTTTCCATCTTTTCCCCATTGTCTCTATTGTGTCATGTTTCCTCCTGGCCTCATGACCATTAGCTTGTTGGGTTTTTTCCCCTCCCCTGCACACAATACAAGCATTTGGAGTTTACAGACCACAGCCACTTCTGCTACCTTTTAGCGCAGTCCCTCTTCCCCTCCGACCGCTCCCACGCACGATCTGCCATTTCACGAGGCACTTCAGCATTGGGGGGCACTCCTAAAACTGCCAAAAGTCACACTGCGAGTCCCTTGAACTGTGGCAGTTGCCTTTGTCACTAGAGCCTCTCATCTTACAATAGCAAAGGCAAAAGAAAGATTACCCTGAATTTAAGCTGCCTCCTGCTTCCCCCCCACCACTTTAAACTACCTGGGGAGATAAAACACAACCTTACTTGATTTCCTTCAGGATAAATACAATCTATTTGTTAACTAAGAATTTCATATTGCCATACCGAGAGCACTACAGCACTTTTCCTTTCTTAAACGAAAGCAAAGACAGAGTTATTAGGTTACAAGCAGTCCTACTGCAGCTAGATAGTAATTTTTAGGGCCTGTCACCATAACCTTTCTTGTGAACAAGCTGCTTTTTCAGCTGGCTTGCTACTTAAACTTTGTAAAACCTGTTCCTAGCTTCCACTGGTCTGTCACCACACTCACTGGGGTAGGCACTGCTGGGTGTTTTTTTTCCATCAGCTGGGGGCTCCTGGGGCTTAGCTCAGGTGCTCCACAGCAGAGCAAAAACCCCATCTCAAAAAGGGGCGGGGGGAAATGGGAGAAGAAAAGAAAAAAAAGCAGCCCTCCATGGTTCATGAAGCAGTCTGACAAGGTCTTACTTAACACTTGTTAAGTTCTGCTAACAGAAACTCATTTTCAAGATGCATGACTGCAGCACGAAGCACCTCCACATTTGGGTTGTGGGTGCTAAACCTGCAGGAGGCTCAGCAGGGACACGCCTTCCGTCCCTGTGCACAGCAAACAGCTGTCGCGGCCACAGCCAGAAGGCTGGTTCGAGCTGGTGCTCCTACTTGCGCTCAGTTTTGAAGCCCATTAGATGAGTCCAAAAAAAAAGAGTATATGGAAAGTGGAAAAACAGCAGAAAAACAGAGAAATGTTTCAACTGGCTCCTACTTTTCCAAAACACAGTTAATTCAGAGTAGGGCAAAGCCTGGGCAACACCTGCCAAGGAACTGAAAACACAGACAGGGAAAAATGGCACTTATCATGGCAGGCAGAACCACTGGCCATCCACCAGGTCTTGCGTATGTAAATAAATAGAAAATTGTGTATGGATACACACATGTGCATACAGGTGAAAGAACAGTCTGCTAGATTGAGGCTATGTCTGCTCTGAAATGGACACATTCATTTAATTAATTACATTTTTATTCTTGTTTCCCTGCTCCCTTGAAACTACCATCAAACCCCTTGTACCACTCACTTCCAGCATCAACTAAAAGAAAAAAAAAGCACACACAAAACCACCACACCCCACCCCCACCACACACCAACACCACCA